TTTGGCGGATCCAGATATTTCTTGACTTTTATTTATGACTTCTCCATGCGTATATTCGTGTACTTTTTAAAATCCAAGGATGAAGCATTTGAAAAGTTCGTTGAGTACAAGAATCTTATGGAGCGGCAAGAAGCTTAAATATATTCGTAGCGAATATGTAAACAAAAGGTTTGATGAATTCCTTACACAACATGGTATTGCACGTCAGCTGACCGTTGCATACACACCGCAACAGAACGGAGTTGCAGAGCGAGCTAACCGTACCCTAGTGGAAATGGCGAGGTGTTTGTTAGTGGAGTCCAAACTTTGCAAGGCGCTTTGGGCTGAGGCTATAAACACTGCAGCGTATTTGCGTAATCGGTCGCATGCAAGGGCGCTGACAAATATGACACCGATGGAAGCGTGGCTCCGTACCAAAGGCTCCGTGGCACCGTAGATTAATTTGAATGACAGCAACGATGATGGCTCTGATGACAACAAAGACGACAACAGCGATGCAGAAAGTTCCAGTACAGATGTCGACAGTGGCGATGCATTCGAAAGTGCTGAAGATGCACCTGCCCAAGAGGATGGTGGTGTGCGGGTTGGACCCGGCAGGCCAAGATTACTAAGAACGGGTAGACCAGCGCTATGGTCACAAGGGATGTCGTTGTGCATTATCCTATGAGGAGGCAATGGAGAGTACACATGCATCTTACTGGCGCGAGGCAATGAAGAAAGAATACGATTCTTTGAGGGCGAATGAAACCTGGGCGCTTGCAGATTTACCAAGAAATCAGCGAGCAATTGGCCTTAAATGGGTTTTCAATTTGAAGCGAATGCAAGCGGTGGCATAGAACGTTTTAAGGCACGTTTAGTTGCCAAAGTATGCTCGCAGCAGTATGGTATTAACTACGTCGAAAGATTCTCACCTGTATGCCGAATGGAGAGTTTCCGGTTCATTCTGGCATTGGCGGCTGAGCTAAACCTATATTTGCACCAAATGGACGTATGCACGGCATACCTGAACAGCGACTTGAAAGACACCATATATATGAAGCAACCACAAGGAAGTCATCCAGGTCAAGTCCTGCTGTTGAAGAAGGCGATCTATGGACTGAAGCAGTCAGGAAGGGAATGGAATTTCAAGCTTGACCATGTCCTGCGAGATATGGGCTTAAAGCTGCTATATCAGGAGCTTTTGAATGCGTCGACAAGGGCCCTATACAGTTGTTTCTCGGCATGGAGATTCAGCGGGATGGTGAAGTTGGTGGCATTACCTTAAGCCATTCGCAATATATCAAGAAAATATTGCATCAACACAACATCGAAAATTGCAGGCCGGCAGCGACGCCTTTGGAGGCAGGCCATCAGGTGGCGTGCGAGAGTACGAACTGTCAAAAGGTGGAACCGGCACTGTATCAATCGATAGTGGGCGAGCTGATGTGGCTGGCCCTAACCACTAGACCAGATATTTTACACTCCGTAGCGAAGCTGGCACAGAGGAACAAGGATCCTCCGAGCATCTTACAGCTGTAAAACATATTCTGCGTTATCTGGCGTCTACAATTGAGATGAAGCTCTACTACAGCAAGTGCGGCCAACCTTTCTCTGGTTACGTAGATGCAGATTGGGGCGGTGATAAAACTGACTACAAGTCGTATACGGGCTACGTATATTTCCTATCTGGAAGACCGATTTCATGGAAATCGGAGAAACAACGCAATGTGGCACTCTACTGCATGCAAGGAGGCGATAGCCATGAGACGGCTCATCATTAAAATTGGCTGCGGCACGGCAGACACACCAACTGTGGTGTACGGCGACAATCTGAGCGCTCAGCAGTTGGCGTAAAATCCTGTGCATCATTCACGAACCAAGCACGTGGATATCAGATACCATTTTATACGTCAGGTTCTGCACGAGGGTCAAATTGAATTGAAGTATGCTGTGACAAATATGATAGCTGATATCGTTTCGGCCCAAATCTTCTGCCAGCTGTGTAGCTAATTCCCATAGAATTATCGAAGGCTGCTCCGCAGTATTTGGTTCCTATTTATTGTCTTATTTTATTTCACCGCATGCATTGCGTGTTCTCTTCAGACAAAAAATATAGAATAGATAAAAAACATTCTTCTTCTTCTTAAATCTAATTGCAATCGATAGCTGATACATACAAATATCAATAGCGATACAAAATTCAATTAATTCATAAACTGCGCCTATGGCGCCAACATAAATTCAAATAATTCATTAAATGCGCTTATGGCGCCAACATACTCCCGACCTTGGAAGCTCCTTCCAACATCAGTCTAGCCTTCTTCGTCTAGGGGTAAGGGGCAGATTTTGTGTACGTTCCGCTTGAGATAGCCATTTTTGGTTTTAAGAGTCACTACTCTAACCACACCATCGTTTCCTGGATGAAGTTCGTGAACTCTTCCAAGTAGCCATTGTCCCGGCGGTAAGTTGTCCTCCGCAATCAACGCGAGAGAGCCCAATTTCACATTTTTGAACAGGCCATTCCATTTTGTCCGCTCTTGTAGCAAAGTCAAGTATTCTGCCGCCCAACACTTCCAAAATGCATTCTGCACCAGTAGAATTCGCTTCTAGTGATTAGTCATGGACATCTTTATCACGTCTTCATCATATGGCTCTACCATGGTGTTCAGCGGACGGCCAACCAAAAAATGTCCAGGTGTCAGGGCCTCTAAGTCGTTGGCATCTAAAGACCGAGGGTGTAACGGCCTGGAATTCATTATGGGCTCCACTTGAGCTACTGCCGTCAAAGTTTAGGGCAGAGCTGTTTGCACACTTCACCAGAAGTTGCTTAGCGACCTTGACTGGGCGCTTCCCTCGCACGTTAAAATGCATATGAATTGGTCCAGCCCAGGATGTTTTAACTCAAATGGACCATCAGCTTTAGTTAACCGACCGCCAACGCGAATTTGTTCGATTCCTTCTTCTATATGTATGAACGGACTTAAGCGTTGTATCTTCGCCGACTTAATGAACATTTCTTTCTGAAGGCAAATGAATTCCCTTTTAAACGCTATGTTTTGCAAATTGTAAATAATGTAGCGCAATCCTCCATACATTTCTGCAACCGTTAGTTCACCCTTGCCTATAGAACTGGATCAAGCCTTTCTCCAACGAAATATGAAACTGAAGACGCGCTGCAGTTTAAGGAAATCGTTCGCAAAAATGCGTTCTTCTACTATATGGTCTGTTTCTGTCTGGGCACACACTAGAGCAAAATTTTCCTTTCTTCGGTCTGGCATTTCTTCTGCTGTTCCGGACCAATGTCCTTTCACCCATTCATTGACTGGTTGCTTCAAGAAGCTCGGGCCATGCCACCACAGCGCTGAGTCTTTCAATTCCCTTGGATACATGCCATGGGAAACTACGTCCGCTGGATTTGACTTCGACTCAACCTTAAACCAATCTTGAATGTTCGACATTTCTTGTATTTTTGCAACCCTATTTGCGACGAAAGTTGTCCATCGGCTAGCGTGCGATGAAATCCAGTTTAGAACAATAGTGGAATCTGTAAAGTAACGACACTGTGCTAACTTTAACTGTATGCAGGACTGCACCTTTGCCATTAGTTCTGACATTAGCAGTGCTCCTTTTTGTCCTATGCGTGGCAACGACGTGACTCTCACTGGAGCAACCTTTGACTTGGCCGCCACCAAGTGTATCGCGATTTGTCCAGCCTTGTCTCTGACTTTGCCATCACCGAACGCGGCAAAATGCATTGGCTAATTGCATTCAGTTCTCCTCGGTATTTTTTCCATTGTGCCTTTAAGCCGGCTGAAAGTTCATCGTCCCATTGAAGTTTCAGCAGCCACAGCTCCTGCACAAATATTTTTCCGAGAATGATTACGGGACCTAAGACCCCCAAAGGGTCAAACAACTCAGCTAATTCAGACAGTACTACTCTCTTGGTAATAACAGGAGAACCTTTTGGATGAAATGAAAACCTGAATATGTCTTCCTTACAAATCCAACTGATGCCTAAAGTCTTTGCAGCGTCCTCGCTTGCCAGAACCAATGGGTCCAATTTAGGCAGCTGACTCACTATTTCCTGGCAATTGCTTCGAAACTTATGCAACTCAAATTTTCCCAAATTAAGCATGTCTGTCACTTCTTGCCACAATGTTAATAACTGAGGGATGGAATCGCCACCGCTTAGCATATCGTCCATAGAAAAATTGCATCTGACTGTTTCGGATGCTAATGGATACTTTTCGGCATGCTTATCCGCCAAATACGACAAACATCTCACTGGTACCGTAAGTGACTGTGCGTAAGCGAAGCGCCTTTAAAGGTTCGTGGCTGTCACTTATCCACAAAATGCATTGGTAGTTGCACTGCGAGCTCTCTACGAGCACTTGCCGATACATTTTGGCAATATCTGCTGTAAGAGCATACTTATAAAATCGGAATCTTACCAGAATGTCAAATAAATCTGGTTTCAGTGTTGCACCTACCAACATTGTGTCCTTTAAAGATACCCCGTTGCTGGATTTACAAGAGGCATCGAAGACCGGATGATGAGGCATAACATATTGCACTTCATGCATCTTTGTGGGTGCTACTACCTCCAAGTGACCTAATTGCTTGTTGTAGTATACACACATACTGAGTACACACTGTACGCAGTGTATTTATGAAAACCAAGCATAATTCATACGCGACGTAACATGATGGCACTTATGCGCCCTAAGCGGCATAAGTGCAGCGTCGGCGTTTTTATCATAATCACTTCATGTGTGCATGTTATTCTCTCTCGCGCTCTCGCTGCCAACAGCGCTGACGCTGCCGGCGTCACCAACAGCGCAGCTAAACGTCTTTACATAGCGACCGTGACAGGACCAACGTCCGAAGATTGCGGGATGATGGTCCTAATACAGAAGAAACAAGCAAACGGGGAGAGAAAACTCCAGTAAAAATCAAAGTGAAACCCTGCCGTCGATGAAGAAAAAGCAGTCGCTCTTCTACGGAGGAAAACCTACGGAAAAATGTTGTGTACCCAGGCAAACAGAAAAAAACTGAAAGACAAGGCCGATTTGGACGCTCAGCTGGCCAGCGCTGGAGACAAGCTAATGGTTGTGGATTTCTTTGCCACCTGGTGTGGACCTTGCAAAATTATTGCGCCCAAGCTGGAGGAGATTGCGCAAAAATTGGCAGAGAAAATTGTTGTGCTGAAGGTCGATGTGGATAAGTGCGAAGAAATCGTCATGGAGTTGAATGTATCCAGCATGCCCACTTTTGTGTTCCTGAAAAAGATTGAGGAGTTTGCCGGCGCCAATGCCCAACGATTAATCGACACCATTTAAAAGCTTTCGGCCTAAAAAGTGTTTTTTGGAATGCTTTAGTCTCAATGTCCGCTAAATTATTGTTCGACGGATGATTTTCCAACACCACACGAGAAGACCTACAGCGCTACATAGAGCACATCAATGAATTGAAGGCCGAATTAAAACTTCGCAACCGGGCGAAGTCACGCAAGGGGGCCGCAAATATGCGTAAGCCTTAACTTGCCATAGATTTAAGTCCTACATGCGAATTGATGCACGTCAGTGCAATTCGCAAACACTAAAACCTGTTAGGCTTTAATTACTAACATATGTGGTAGGAGAATTTTTTTAATTTTTTTTTATGAATTGTAACATTGAATTGTGAGCCTACAACATAAAGTACCATAAAGTCTGTTTATTAACCGATTTCAAAAAAGAATAGGTTATCAATTCGTCTGTATTTTTTTTATTTATTTTTTTTTTATGTATGTTACCTCGGTACACTCGACTGGGTGAACTGTTTTTAATGGTTCTTATACCATTTGAAAGCTGGTGCTTCCAGAATGGTCCCATATACTTTGTCGGGTCTGCCACGCCTCCTTCTGCCTGTTACATTTTTCAGCTCGCGCAAATCTAATATACTCTTGTACATTTCATGTACAGAGTATAAAAATACAAAAAATTTTCTTTTCCATTTATTTTACGAAAATAAAATTTTTTTCCAAAGGGGGAAGGTGTAGCATAGCCACCGTTCATCAATACCTAGTGCCCACTGTCATAAACAATGAACGCGAAAGAAAGGTTTAGGATTACAGCCCGCTGACTTACTGACAAGGCAAGTGTCAACGCTCTAAGTGCGCCACTTGACTTGCAGCGTCAGCACTGGCTCTGACCCAATGACCAATCAAAGTAGCGAACGAAACAGACTTATTGACGATCGATGAATAGGGAAAAGGATAGGAACAACCAAGGGTCGTATGCCATTCCACTTCACTTACACTTACACAGTTGATCTACTTACACACATTAGACATTAAGCAAATATTGTTAATACATGACATTATATACATAATTAGTACATAAGCCACATTTTGTATAAAAAGAGCTAAATAAACATACAAGACACAGTGCAGTCTTAAAGCTAAAAGAAAAAAAAAATGCTAAAGTCGAGCAGGCTCAACTCTTATATACCCTGTACCACCCCACAAAAAAGAAATTAAATAAATTAATAAATTTAATTAAATTAATTCACTAAATTAATTTAATTAATTAACTAAATTAAACATAAAATACATAAAATGCATACATACATTTACATTTACATCAGAATCGTAAATTCTAATGAAACTTGGTATACGGCTATATAATCACTAACCTAATGTGAATACCAAAAATTCAAAATTCCAAGAATTACGGGAGTTGTAGAAAATCGTTAATAGGGGGGGAGTGCGGGGTGTATCAGAAAAAATGAACAAACTCGATCTACCTAGGGCTTATAGGAACCTTGATACCAATTTTGGTTATCCTAGCTCTTGTACTTACTGAGATCCTTGCGCTCATACAGACAGACGGACAGACAGATAGACAGACGGACATGGCTATATCGACTCGTCTTGTCATCCTGATCAAAAATATATATACTTTGTGGGGTCTGCCACGCCTCTTTCTGCCTGTTACATACATTCGCACAAAACTAGTATATCCTTTCACCCTTTGGATACAGGGTATAATAAAGGGAAAGTCCTGCTTGTAACGACGCTCAGCTGCCATCTACGCGTACGATGTACGATGCCGATGAGTAGTTTTAAGTAGGTATAAGTAGTTGTAAGTTGAAGAGAGTTGGGAGTTAGTTCAGCTGGAGAGGGAAACGAACGCGCATTGAAGCGCACCCTCCTATTTGTTACATTTGGGAAATAAAACACAAATTGTATACACGGCGAGCATCATATTTGAATGGTAACTGCGGGCTCACTTTATTCCTGGGGAACCAAACAAAGAATTTTGCAGCGACTCTGGCCGACGAGTATACCCGGGCCAGAGCAACGTTACAAATGAACACAAATATTTTAATAGAGATAACACATTTTATGCACTTATAAAATAAGACACAAAAACACATCGTTCTATATAATAAAATAACTTCATTGTATTACGTTATTTTCCAAAAGGAGGGAGATGTAGTATACACACGTACTGAGTACACACTATACGCAGGGTATTTATGAAAACCAAGCATAATTCATACGCGACGTAACATGATCGCACTTATGCGCCCTAAGCGCAGCGTCGGCGTCTTTATCATAATCACTTCATGTGTGCATGTTATTCTCTCTCGCGCTGTCGCTGCCAACAGCGCTGAGTATATAGGCTAATATATAATGCAGCCGCTCCGCTGCCGGAGTCACCGACAGCCCAGCTACGCGGCCCTAGCTAAGCTGACTTTAAGTAAAAATGTAACAGATCAATATGAATAAAGATTATAAACAAGAGACGTCTGTTTTTTGCAAAGACGTCTTTACATTGTACTCCTCAATGAAATTGCAATATTCTTTCTTTAATGCCTTATTTCGATTGAGCCTTTTCTCTAGGTTTAAGAATCGATTCAACGCAATGTTATAGGATTCTCCTAACACTGGGGTGGGCACCTTGAAGGGCAGGTGAACCACAAAACGACCAGAATTGTCTTGACTTACGTTATCTTTAAAGTTATTTTCGCACTGAATTTCCTCTTCAGTTAGCGGACTTACTGGCTGCGATACTTCCTCACATTTCCAAAATTTTTCAACCAACTTGCTCAATTTGTCTGTGTCTTTTTCTTCCTGATTTACGAGAAGTGAAATGCCTGCAGTATCGCAACACTCGCCTACAACAACAAATCCTAACTACGATTTCTGTAATATTGGCAATGTTTGGTCATCCGGCCAAAAACAGCCAAAACCAGCAGCACATCATAGTTAATAAGTAACGTAAATAACTCAATGCAAAGTGCTCGTTTTCTTGTCACTTGCTTTGCATAGCAAGCCGAGCACTTAACGTTTCCTTTTGTTGCTTGCCATAAATTTGCATAGGCTGCTGCGCAGCCGCCACATATGTACTAGTTATTGTCGCTAACTCTGCAAGTCAAGTTCGTTTTTCGTTATCGCATCTGGTACGGAGAAGCTTAGCTTTCCGTCTACCAGCATAAACTTTGTAAATCTCGGCGATCGCTACCTATGCAAAATAAACATTTGTGCACCTCTTTTAAATTGAACAATTTCGTTTTCGCTTATTTTGCAATTATTTCGCCAACATAATTTCGCATATTTGGAATCATAAAAAAGCTTATTATTATACAGGCAAGTTGTCCCCTAGTCGGATTTGGCCTGCTACTATCAAATTAAAGAACAACGAAACTCCAATTAACATGTCAATATTTTCTGCCGAATAAAACGCAGGATCAGCCAACTTTACTCCAACAGAGAACTAGTCGGATTATATTGAGTTATTTTGGTTAGTACGCAAAAATTCGCACTTGTTTCAAATCTTGTGACTCTAGATTTAAAAGTTGCCTGTACCTCGCCGAGAATTTGAGAAGCAGAATTTCCTATACCACTGAGACGAATACACGTGTCTTGCATTTTTAACTTAAATCTTGTGACCAAGCTATGCGTCAAAAGGTTAAGTTGGCTGCCAGAATCTAATACACACCTGGAGCTATGGTAAATTCCTTCATCGTCCTTTATTAGTACTACTGCGGTGGCTAAAAAGTTAGTCGAAGCCCTAGTAAGTAGTGTACTGTGCAAAGAACTTGATCCCGAATGAATGTTGGCTGGCGATTCTTTAACATTCATACTAGGACCTTCTACTGCACTACCTTCCATATGCAGTAGTTCGTTGGGTTCGTCCAACCTTTAGTTGCATGGCGCTTACTAAAGCAAATTAAGCATAACGAATGCCTTTTAGCTTCCTGGTACCTTTGTACTGGAGTTAAGCCTTTAAATTTTGGGCATACCTTTATATAATGTGGTCCCGAGCAACAGTAACATATGTTGTTGCTATTACTGCCAAGTGCAGCAGCTAAACTAGCCCTTTTAAACTCGCCCTTATTAATATTTCGACCACCCTTCTGATGGCGAACTTCTTTATTGGCTAAATTTATGGCTCTCTGAGCTAAAAACTGAGATAACGAAGACCATGATGGCATCTTTTGACAATCCCAGTCACTATCCCATCTATCCACCGTCTCGTCATCAAGCTTGCCTCTAATCAAATTAAAAATAAAAAAGTTTAATAGGTCTGCTTCTTCACGTATTGACCGAAGCGCCGTAAGTTGCGAATTGACGCTATCTATAAGCCCTCTTAACGACTCGGAATCAGATTGCTTGATGCGTTTTAAGTTAAATAACTCATTTATATGACACTGCGCAATAATGGCCTTATTGTCGAACATATCCTGCAATAATCGCAATGCCTCTTTGTAGTTGGCTCCTGATAACTCCAGGCAATCTATTGTGGTCAGAGGAACTACACTTAACGAAGCTCGCAAATGTATCATTTTCGACAAGTCATCCAACTCTGAATCCGACCCTACAAGTGTGCTAAACGTATTAAACCAACTTGTCCACTCAGTGAATTTTCCAGAAAATTGTGGTATTTGAATAGCCGGCAGGTTAGACGATCGTGTAATAGCTGTGCTGTTTAGGATGTCTGCATCTGACTGGCTTCGTCCACGATGTCTCATGCGACTTAGTAACTTTACCTTTATTTCGCAATATATCTCCTCAGCCTCGAAACGACACTGTGATTCTAAAGAATCGTTAGTCTCTTGCTCAATTTTAGCTTGAATATCGCAAAGCTGACTAAAATTAGCTTCTACTAAACTCAATCTTGCCTCCAAGTCAGCAGCGGTCATGGGCGCATTGTGCTTGGCAACATAACCTTTATTTCTATTAAAAGAATTCATTAGACCATCACGTGCGCTCATGAGCTCCGCTTCTTTAGTTCTTTTAGGTGCCATTTTGCAAACCTTGCCAAGTCTGTAGATACAACGCCTAAGTCAAACGTCTACACTTGTT